TCCTTTCTTCTGTCCATCAATCCCAGAGATAATCCACGGGCAACATTCTGCTGATGTCAAAGCCTGAATTTTGCCTGAAACTCTCAGACTGAAGAAGTCTCTTGGAGGAGAGACGAAACGTTTCATTAGAGAAGAACCCGTCCAGAAGACCTATACAATTTTTTTCTTTTTGATATGTACTATGGTTTCTAAGTAGTTTCATGTAGTTATTTGACTTGCAGACTTAAAAGTATTTATTCTAAGGTTTGAATCTACAGCAGCTTGTGTTGTATAACAGCAGTCTCTGCTGGACATGAGTGAAAATAGATTCCACTAACTGTTTTTTTTCTATTATCTGTACGCATGAATKAACTCTTTTAAAACTATATTGAGTGAGTTTTTATTCCTTGTTTTAAAAAAAAGGTTGGAGAAGTTATGTACGTTTTGAGAAATAGAAGCAATGTAAACTGTATAATCTGATAAACAAATAAAAAAACTATATTGAAATATTTGTATTTGGCTRCAGTTTAGGTGCACCCTTTTCTCGCGTCAAATGTGAAACAAAAAGTCGTCCAGACATCACTAACTGAGCCTGATCCGATTCAAAGCATCAATCACATCGTCACTCGACTTGTCCAGTCTGTCTTCACACCGCATGGCAGAGAGTACACGGGACTGCGTGGAGGTGCGCAGCGATTAGCTAATCTTCATCTCATCTAAAGACTCGCAGATTAAAAACAAAATGTCACAGTTACAGGCGAGGTTTTTCACCGAGGACAAACGGTGAGTCAGTGGACGGGACGTGATAACAAATAAGTTAGCTAAACAGTTAGCTGTTTACGCTAAACTGCTTTAAAGCCAGTTCTTGTTAATGCGCATGCGCTGCTAACTACTTTTCTATCCGCGTGAGCAGCGGTGCTACGTTTTTTAGCATGTTTTGCTAATTAATGATGGGAGAAGTGCGCTTGGTTTTATTCGTGACTTTTTGTTTGGAATGATTGTGTTTTATTTTATTAGATCTTATTTTGTTTGTTGATTTTTAGGTATGTGGTGGACGACGTTCCGTTCTCCGTGCCGGCGGCGTCACAAGTCCAGGACCTCAGTAACGTCATCAACAAGCTGCTGGAGGCTAAACATGGTAAACAAAAACGTTTTATTGCAACGCTAGCTAAATTATGCTTTGATGAGTGTTAGGAGACAAATATATACACCAAAGCTAAAGCCTGAAGAGGCTTAAGTACTAATAAATACTCCTAATACAGCGTGTTTATTTACAGACAATGTTGTGTCTTCATAGGGTCTCACACCAAGGTGGAGTTTGACTTCCTGGTCAAGGGCCAGTTCCTGCGAGTCCCTCTGTCCACTCACATGGACACTGAGGGGATTTCATCGGTACGATATGCCACTGCTCTAACACTGAAAGTCGTGAAAACTGTCCTGTAACACATCAGCTGTTGAATCATTTATTCTCATGCTCTGACAGAGCAAACTGTCCTACAGATGTGTTTAAAGGCTGAACAGTTCTGCTTTTAGTGCAGACTGTTGTAGGGTTGGGCATAATCGTATCATGTGCAATTAATTGTCAGAAAAACACGAATCGATTMATTTTTGGCACTTGACGATTAATGCCACCAGGCAGACTGGAGATTACTCCGGTTAGTCTGCTCGATGCTTCTCTCCACTTCAAATGTGACGAAGATTAAAAATAAAATTCTGTGATTTATCTATCAACACAATTTGAAATATGATGAAATCTGTAATTTTCTCACAGTTTGGAACAATTTTTTTTTTACAAAGAGCAAATCTTTTTCACTAAATTGGTCATGTGACTACGAAATAAGTGTATCCAGGGACTCCAGGGGATTAATCGTTATCGGCTAAATACCACAATTAATCGTGATTAATTTTTTTTGCCAATATTGCCCAACCCTAGACTGTTGTAGAAACATCAGACTAACATCAGATACTGATTAGAGGTGGTAAAGCTGATTCACTTTTTGGACTCAGGTTAATTTGAGATGTTTTGTTTTTTGTGGTCTGTGCAAGATTAAAATCAGACACCACTCTCAGCAGCAGAACCACACTTTCCACAGAACAAGTGTGCCAACTCCTCAAACTGT